ATGACATAAAGGTTGCACAATACTTACCTTCAAAGAACTTAACATTACTGAAGGAAAAAATAACAGAATATTTCGATAACTTCAAAGAGGAAGAATGAAGTCACGACAACATTAACGAAGAAGTCACGACAACATTAACGAAGAGAGAATGAGGTGAAAAAAAGAGACCAAGGGTCAGAGCCGCAAAGCGGCTAGGGTGATATCTCACCTCTTCACCAAAAATATATTTTTGGTTAAATAGCTTCAGGGTCAATTTCTCAACCATTTCACTTCCTTCGTCAATGTCAATTGAAGCTTCTTCAACCTTTGGTAAGAACTTTTGTATAACATCTTTGTTCGTTATTGTCTTCAGAGATGAAGGATAATATTTCACAGATGTTTCACCCTTCTTATATTCTTTCTGTTCGGAAAGATTCATAGCAATACTGAAGAAGTCAATGTTGGAGTTCTTTATGACAGTATAGTGTGTATCTTTGACATTCACGAAGAAACCCTTTTGTTTCAAAACTACTGCTAACTCTTGTGAAGTATAACGTTTGCGGTCAATGACGATAGCTAATGGTCTGACATACTGACCAAACTTAGATTCTTTCACAAACTTCTTGTTAAAGATAACATTAACGTTTGAAGCATTATTGAACTCATTCTTGATGGCAGTAGCGAGAGCATTGTATGAAAAGAATTGCAATCTTGCATGTGTTTCATTAAAATAAAAATATTAAATTATTTTGAAAAATAACTTAAAAAAAATCTAATCTAATTTTTTCAAAAATATTTTTTTATTTCCTACTAAAGATGTATCGGAAGTTGTCTAAGTTAGAACACTCGGAAATAAAACAACTTCTTACAGAAGCTAATATAGATGTTGCAAAGCATTACGCAACAAACAAAAAAGCACTCGCTGACTTCATTAAAGACTATAATGGTGCAATAAGTTATGATAGAATTCATGAGTTCATAAAGCCGCAACGCGGCGAGGACGAAGTCCATGCAAGAGCATTTCCTTTAAATGACATTGCTATTGACTTATATCATAGACGTTCAGTACCTCATGAAGTAAGAAGAGAGATGTTTGACATAACAAATGCAAACGTTGGTGAAACAAGAAGAGCTGTACCTCATGAAGTAAGAAGAGAGATGTTTGACATAACAAATGCAAACGTTGGTGAAACACGAAAGAGAGATGACACACTGAAACAACAGAGAAGAGAGATGTTTAAAAGTGCTATAGAACAAGTTCGCAAAGCTAACGATGTCATTCGTTCCATTGACGACAAACCAAAAGAAGGTGAGAGATGGTTAAAGAAAGATGAAGAGAATAGGAAGAGAAATGTGAAGTCAGGCAATAGACTCATTGACTTTAACATCGAAGCTTTAGATGAACCAAACAGAGACTACTTACACAAACATTTCGGTAAGGTTTTCATGAGACTCTTAGAGAAAATTAAAATAAACTCGCAACAGAGATGGATGGTATGTTATAAACTTGGTGGAAAGTATGAATGTTCTACGTTAAACCTCAATAATATTGGAACATTACTACATCAGCTCTTGAAGGAGAACTTTATATCAGAGATAGAAGCAAATGCTGCAGGTATTGTTGAAATGCACTATGACTTCTTCTTGACAAACATAAAGAATCTTACCGAAATAAAGATGTATGATTTAACAGAATATGAAGGCTTAACGATGTCAGATGTAAAGAAAGGCAAACCAAAAAAGAGACCATATAGAGATGAAAGCACACTGACAAATGACCAGAAAGCCATTTTGGAAGCTCTTAAGCAAACAGGAAACCCAGCACTTATAGAAAGCTTTTGGAAAGATAATGGAAAAAGAAGTTTTATAAGAAGAGAAGCGGTCAGTTCTGGAAGTATCTTTGCACATTACCTATAAATCTTGAACGCTACCAAATCTTCAATGAACTGAACAAAAGAACTGCAACACTTATGACAGAGGACAATTGTTTCGTTTATGCTTGCATTCAGGCTGGAGTAAATGAAGAAACTATTGACCACATGAGAGAAGTCATTCGTGTTAGAGACTTTCCTCAAAGTAAAGTACAAGAAATTTCCGATTCAACAGGTATAGCATTTAATGTTACCATTGGTTATTTCAATGACTCAAGACATAATGAAATAAAGAGATATATACCAAAAGAATGCGAAACTGTTAGAACTATTGACTTACTTCTTGTTGAAGACCACTACATGCTAAATGAAAGATTACCAATGACAACATACTTCATTCGAAACTATATAGAAATCTTGAAGGAGTGTGGTGGAATGAACATTGAGAAACAGATGAAGATTTATACAAAGAGAGAAGATAAATATGTAGTTCGTTATGATAGAACAACACCGCTATGGGATGTTATGAAACATTGTGGGAGTGCAAATATTTCGAACCTATTTCTTATGGAGAACTTTTCACATATACTACTGACTTATATAAACAGAACCTTGCACCATTTAAAGATTTGACATATGCTCCAAAGTATTGTGTACAACTGAAGAAGAAAGCAGAGTCAAAAGAAGTAAATAAAGCTAAATGTAAATTCATTCCTGAGCACGTTTTCTTTGCTGACTTTGAGTGTAGCACAGACGGCTTTCATAAAGCTTTTAACATCTGTTATGACAGTGAAGATGGTTCAGTGAGTGAAAGCATTTGGGGTCAAAACTGTGCAACAGAATTTTTGGAAAGACTTCCTGACAAGAGTTTAATATATTTCCACAACCTCAGTTATGACATAAACTTCATCTTAAGACACATGACAGAAGTGAAAGGAACTCCCATCATTAAAGGTTCACGAACAATGCAAATAACTGGTTTATATAAAGGACGGGCAATTATTATAAAAGACTCTTACAGTGTTATAAATAAGAAGCTTAAACTATTTCCTGCTATGTTTAACTTACAAACAGGACCGAAAGAAGTATTTCCATATAACTACTACAGCAGTGTTTTGTTAGCAAATGACAACAGAACTGGTGTCATTTCTGAAGCATGTAAGTTTATCCATGATGCAGATACATTCATGAAAAACATAGATTCCATCAAAGGTTGCAGAATAGATGAAAACCACTTCGACTTAGAAAAATAGCACGTTTTACTGCAAACAAGATGTAAGAATTTTAAGAGAAGTTTTGTAAAGTTCCGCAATGACTTATTGAAAGAGTTTGATTTAAACGTTTATGACTACGTTAGTATTTGTTCTATTGCTAACAAATTGTTTGAGAACAGAGTATACTTCCCGAATGGAAATCTTTATGACCTCTCAAATAAACCAAGAGAATTTATTTCGAGATGCATTCAAGGTGGAAGATGTATGTTGTCAGATAACATGAAACAAAAGAGCAAAAAGAAACTCATTGCTGACTTCGACACTGTTTCATTATATCCTTCAGCTATAGCAAGACTTTATACTTTAGAAGGTATTCCAAAAGTATTGAAGGAAGAAATGTTAAGCACAGAGTATCTCATGAGACATTTATTCGATGATGACCAAAAGGAACCCATTGGTGAAAAGTTTATGTCTGGCTTCTTTGTTCTCATTAAGATAACAGAGATTGGTATACCCAGACACTTTCATTTAATAGTTTGCGACCCTGAACTAAATCCAGAACTTAACGTTCCAAGAAGTTCAAACACTTGCTGTCTCATGTATGTTGACCATATAACATTACAAGACCTCATAAAATATCAATGTGTCAAATGTGAAGTGTTGCAAGGATACTATTACGATGGAAACAGAGATATGAGAATAAGAGATGAAGTAAAGAAGTTGTTTGAGTTAAGGTTAAAGTATAAGAAAGAAGGAAACCCCTTACAAGAAATTATAAAACTCATTCTGAACAGCATTTATGGCAAAACTATTCTATCTCCTATTGAGTCAAAAAATAACCATAGTAAATGACAAAGATGCTATAAGATATGCTATAAGAAATTACAACCATATAGTGAAGTTCGAAGGTTTGGATGGTTCAGATAAAACTATTTTCAAGCTAACGAAAAGCATTTGCAGACACTTTAACTTCTGTCCACTTGGTGTTAATATTCTGTCTATGTCAAAACGTATTATGAATGAAGTATTCTGTACTGCAGAGACATGGGACTTCAAATCTTTTACCAGGATACCGACAGTATGCACTTATATAATGAAGACATCCCAAAGCTTGCAGCAGAGTTTAAGAAGAGATATGGTCGCGAACTTATAGGAAAGAACCTTGGTCAATTTCATAGCGACTTTGCAGAAATAACACCTGGAAAACAAGTTTAGCTTATAAAAGTATTTTCTGTGGAAAGAAGACCTACATAGACTTACTCACTAACGATTTAAATGAAGTTGCATTTCACTGCAGAATGAAAGGCGTGAAGCAAGATGTTATTGCTTTAACCGCTAATGAAATGTTTCCTGAAGCTATACAATGCTATTACAATGAAGATAAGAACATTCACATACCTGTTGGAACATATGACAAAGACTCTGAGTTCAGTTTAATGAAACTTTACAAAGCACTTTATGATGGTCAAGAGATTGCATTCGACTTATGTAAGTCATGTCAACCTTGCTTTGCTGAAAAGTTCAACTTTTCAATAACGACTAAAACAAGCTTTATTCGTAAGTTGAAGTTCTGAGGTCATGGGCTTCGCCCTTGCCGCTAGCGGCTTATTTTTGTCAGCAATGAGGTCATTCGTGATAAAAATAAAGCTAGCGTAGATTTTACAATACTGCGATGGTAGAGTTTAAGAGTTGTGCTTCAATGTAGAGACAGTCCTTCCCATCTGGAGGCAAGAACACTGGACATTTATGGTCATGAGTGGAGAACATGTCTATCCAAAACTCACGATTGAAGCCAGTTAATTTATAGTATTTAGGGTTAGGAAGTGGTGAAGTTCTTGTATGACCAATGAACTCATTTTCAACGCCTTTGGCTATATTAGAGTAAAGTATTGCTTGCTTTCTATCCCAAATGCCAGGTGTTACAATCTTTGAAAATTCATTTTTCCTCGGAAGCATTGCATCATAATTGAAAACATTCTTAAAATCATCACTTGGTTCGGAGATTTGAAATCTTATACGTAATGGATTTTCTTTCTTTTTAGCGACTTCATTGAATGGTGAGAATACAATGAATTGACAGTCATGTGTTCCATCTTCATTTTCATTAAATTCATAATGAAAGTCTATAAGTTGTGGCTGACTACCTTCTTCCTTCAGTTGTGCAAGAAACTCACGTAAAGGCTGTAAAGTTTGTACTTCAATGTTGAACTTTTTCTCGAACATCTCATTAAATGAAATCATACATTGCAACAATGTTGTATCGTCTTTAAAGTATTTGTATATGTGAATGTTTTGGGCGCTTAAAGACTGTTCGTCATTTTCTATCTCGACTTGAAGTATAAAGTCAACCTTTCTGAAAGCACGTGTTATATACATAGATGTTATGCCAATGTACTTCTCTTCATTTATGTTCACAATCCAGTCTGTTGGAAACTTAAACGTTACTCTGTTCCCCTTTATTTTGACGTCAGGGTTTTTCACTACTGAACGCAACAGATAAAGGTATTTGTCTATACATTTAGTTTGGATAAAAATAAACCATTTACTCTTTCTTTGCTTCAGCTTCTTTGCTTTTTGCTTCTTCTCTAGCTTTTTTCGCCAGCAAACGTGGGTTCTTCTGTCTTCCAGCAGCTAATGCAGCTAGTTGTTTTTCACTAAGTTTTCTCTTTGGTCTCTCTGGCTTTTGTTCTTGTTTTTGTTCCTTCAGTTCGGATAAAATTTGCTCGCGAATTTCTTTCTTCAATGCTTCAACATCTATGACCCCTTGGGTCTTGTCCATATGACTTGTCTGAGTCATTTGACTGTAGATAAAAAACTAACTTAAAACTTTAACCGATGTAAAATGAGCTTGTCAAAATCAGAGCGAGAGTCTATTATATTAAATGACGCAAGAGGAATACAACATCCTTTCTATTACGTAAGTCAGAGTAAAGATGGTAAAATATACGTAAGAAAAAGAAAGGTACCATTAGCGAATGCAGAGAGCGACAACATTAAGGTGCATGGCAAGGGTGAAGTCCACGAAGCCCATATAAAACCTTCTGTTCAAACTGAAAAGTCAATAGAACCGAAGAAAAGAAGCCAGATGTACTTTCAATAACGAACCAAGAGCTTATTGCAAAGTTCGTGAATTTCATTGAAAAACAAACCGAGTCAAAGAACCCTGACCCGCCAGTGAAAGAAGTTGAGACAAAAGAGAATGTACAGTTCATTGAAAATGTCAAGAAACAACTTCCACCACGAATACCAAGAAGAAGAGTGAGAATAATGAAGTAAATAGATATTTTTATCTGAAGTAAATACATGCAGAACGAACAGTTAAACGAATTTACTCCAGCAGAGCATATTCATCAGATTCGCTCATATTTCGATATCATAGACAATGCAGTTCAAATTGGTGACACTAATAGAAAATATTCTGACGCAAAGATTCCATCACAACCTGGAACTGCTAAAGATAACACATGGGTAACATTCAATCTCTCACCTCCTGGTGAAAATATGTTGGACCTTTACAATACATTCATTACGTATAAAATGGAAGGTCAATTTATTGTAGATAAAGAAATTGGTTCAGGTTCCAATAAAACAAACCCACCAGGATTTTGGATTGGTTTCGATGACGCTTTCTATGCAGTTGCTGGATATCAAATCCTTGCAAATGGTCGTATCGTATATTCTCAAGACAACGCAAGAGAAGAAGCATATATAACTTCAAACTCACAAACTACCGAACAAATAAAGAAAGTAGATGTTTTTTCAAAGACTCGACATGAAGATGTATGGAGTCATTCGGGAACATGCAGAACAGGACAAATTATTAGTGGTCCAATTACAGCAGGAAAATCATTTGATTTTAAGCTTCGTTTAAGAATTCCTGTTAGAAGATTCCTTCCATTAGAAGCTATTCGATTTATTCCAGCTTTTGCAGGAAACATTCAGCTTAAAGTAAAGTTCAGTAGCGACGCCTTACAATGCACATCTATATCTGTAAATGATATCATTGCTTTCAATCCAACTCTTAAAGTTGCATTTGCTTCAGATTCAAATCCACCGACAAATAAATTTGTTCCATGGAATGAACCATTCACTATGATAACGAAGGCAGTAGAAGCTAGTGGAACAGTTACTATTACAACTGTAAACCAGCAACTATTTCGAACAAAGATGGATTTTAATGAATGTTTCATTCATCCAAAGTCATTCTCTTTAGACCCTAACATTTATACAGAACTTGTAGAACATTATACAAACGAGGCTTTATGTTTTCCTGTTAAAGTTATGGATTGGATTCCTATGGACGGTTCATTCTCAAAGAATACAGATAGTTCAAGTGCAACATTTACAGCAGCTTATACGCCTATTAATGTTAAAAGTATTTGGGCACTATTTAGAAAGAAAGACAACTATTATGTTAATTTTGAGAACCCTAAGTTTAAATATCTTCAGCTTTCCATGGGAGCTTATGGAAATATGCCTGCAGAACCTGAAAAATCATATGGACCTGTATTTTATGAAATGGTTGCGAACGCTTGCAATACAAACAATGATATGATTGGATTTAATGAAGATGTTATGAGGTCATTGGTGGATGATGGTAGTGTGGAACATAAATGGGATAGCTATGACAACACACATTTCTTATGTGGTTTTCCAACAGAAGTGGACTTTTGCTTCCAGCAAGGTCAAACATCTACTGCTCCAATAACATACAAATTGTCTGTTAAAGGACCTATTGAACTAGCAACTGAAAATGTACCAAAGCCACTTATTGGATTTATGAGGGATTGTTGCTTTGCAATACAAGTAAGACAGTCAGGCATACCAATAATAAGACTTGACGACTATAACTTAGCAACTGACGACAGTGAGGAATAAAGGATGAACGTTTATTTTTAAAGCTTATAAATGAGTTCTTCATCAAGCTCTCGTGAACCTTCACCATCTATGAAACAAACTTTACCAAACGATTATGGAGCACCTATTGAATATTTCTTACGAGCTGCACAATGGCAAAGAGCAGTCTCACCAAGGTTAGGTGTTCCACCAGCTCCTGTCAAAAATAGCATTTGGTCAAGTCCTTATATAAGATATGGTCTCCCACTAGGTTTGCTAGCTACAGCAGGAGCAGTAATGATGTTGAAAAGAAACAAAGCAAATGTTATAAATAATACTGAAGTAGCTGAATTTGAACAAACTCCGACACCATCGCCAAAACCAACGTCAAAATCAACGCCTTCACAAACAACACCTTCAATGACTCCTGTTCAAAAGTCAACTCCAAAACCGACTCCAACATTTAAACCAGAACCTACTCCTCAAATAAATCGTAAAACTCCTGCGTTTCCTTACTGAAAAAATAATGTTAGTTTTATTTTATTTGAACATTTTATTTAGAGTAAAATGACGACTAAAGTCACTGAAGCAATGAAACAAAAATTTTTGGTAGAATACATTAAATCAGGAGCGGTTCCAGAAGGTTTTTACGTTCATACTATGAAGGATGGTAGAGTTCAGTTTAGAAAGATAAAGCAACCATTAGATAGAGAAGGTATATTAAGGAAGATTAAACTTCATGAGGACAACATTGCTGAACTTAAGAAGAAGTTAGAAGAGTTGGAGAAAGGAAGAGAGTTATAAAGCAATGAATTCAACAGGGTGAAAAAACAGGTGAAAAAAGAGGTGAGATCTCACCACTTCACCTAAATTTATTTTTGTGCTATGTTTTCATACGTGTGAGGGTGGTGATATCATTAATTTTTAAGTTTATTTTTAAGTTTATTTTTTATTTTATTTTTATATAAATGACGAAAACTATTGAGATAACAAACTACAACGGTCATGAGTTCAAGAATTTGTTCTTCGTTCCTCGTGAAAATACATTCTATCAGATACGAGGGAGAAAGGGTAAAGTTAGTTTGAGCGTTTATGAAGGAATGAAGAATGGAAAGTTTATACAAGCATATGATACAAACGGTAAGCGTGTTTCATTAGCTTTGTCAAAACTTACTAACATTTATTTTGACAGTGACTTTGACTCTGACGATTGGAGCGACAGCAGCGATACTGAAGAATATGAACTATTGTGTGAAGCACAGCAATGGGAAGAGTTGCAATACTTTTGTAAGTGAGAACGTTTATTTTTTACAGTAGTGAGGTGAAGTGGTTGGCGGCTTTATAAATATTTAAGGTTAAGTTGGTGTTTGTGTTTGTGTTGTAAAATATACGTTAACGGTTTTGTAAAGTGTCAAATTCACAAGTATTGCGTACGGAGGAACGCAGTGCCTCCATACACGACTTAGGGATACTAACTCACGGGCGCAATCCATCTGAAGATAACCGGCATCACCTCTTTCGGTTTCTACTTCTAATTGTTTAAAGCTTTGATTTGATGATTTGTAACCAACGAATAAACGCATGCATTTAAAAGCGGCATCACATGTGAAAGCTTTATTTGAAACTAGAGTTGCTTTAACTTTGCGTTTAATATATGTGTCACCTAATTGGTTCACATCATGAGCTGGGTTTGTAATTCTTAAATGAGTTTGTTTATCATCAAAATATGGAGCATCAGAGTCATAGCATGAACTTTCAAGTTCTCTATAATATCTTCTACCGTCATTCTTTGCGAATATTTCATTTATCTTTTCGAATGAATGAAATACATTTCCATTAATTGGTTTAGTGTTTGGCACTAAATAGTTAGTCGTCATTTATTAATAAATAAAAAATCAAAATTAAAAGATGAAAATGAATTTTTAATTTTAATGAAATAATCAACTATGGCTGCAGGTATATTTAAGAAACTGTGGGATAGAGTAAAAAGAGGAGCGAGTAAAGTTTGGGAAACATTGAAGAAGGGAGCAAATTGGATATTTAAGAATAAAGAAGCAATTAGTGACATTGCTGAATCAATAACACCAAAAGCTGCCCCAATAAGAGAAGTTTTAAATAAAGGAGAAAAAGTTTATCAAAGACTACAACCGATACTAAGATAAAAATAATATTTATTTATTTTTCCACTATCTACCTCCTATTTTATTAAGTATTCCTTCAGCAATTCCACCAACTGCGTTACCTGCTTGTGCTCCCATCGCCGGATTACCTGCTTTAGTACCTAATACTCCACCTATGATAGTTCCTGCCGTTTTCGCTACTGGTGCCAAAAAGTTTGCAACGGGTTTAATAATCTTTTTATGAACCCAACCCGCAACTTTCTTAATTCCATCCCATAATTTTTTAAAGAATCCTGCCGCCATTTCTGATTTAATATTAATTAAAAAATATATTTTATCACTTATATTCTAATTTTTATTTAATGATAAATGAAACCGATTTTAAAACTAAATGAAACAGAGGAAGAAATAAGTGAAAATGTTCAACAAAAAATAAACGTTGTTAAACCAATTACTGAAATAAAATTTTTTTCATCTGTTGAAGAATTTAATGACTATTATGCCAATAATAAAAAATTATTTGAAGAATTGACAACGTGTAAATTGAATAAAATGTTTAAAGTTGATGGATTCAAAATTTCAAAAATAAAAGGAGTGGTTAGTTTGAAATCTATTCCTCAATCAAGAATCACCTCATTAATGAAAATTGATGATTTAACAAAAAGAATAGAAGAGATTGAAGAAAGAATGAATCAAATAATTGATTTCATAAATTCAAATAATCATTAGTTTCTAATTTCTTTTACCCGTTTATGAGGTCTTTGATTATGACTTCATTGATTCCATTCAGGATTTAAACAATGTTTAATTAATCGCGGAATATCTGACATCATCTATATATAGCTTCTTTTATAAAAGATGAAATATATTTTTTTATGTATGGGCTGAGTGTAAATGTCTTACAATTTTGAAAATTTTTTAAATCTTGATTTATTCAAAAACGTAAGAATAAAAACCGTAAGAATCATACATTTTTTTACTTCATATGTTAAAAAAAAATGATACAAAATCGTTCAATATTGTATGAATTCTTACGTTTACAAAAAAAGTCACTAAACCCATCCTATTCTTCTTCTAGAGGTTCATATTTTATTTATGCGAACAATTGTTTTCAAATTATAACACTTTAAAGAAAAACTATGTTATGAAATTGTAGTCAAAATTTTTTTAGTTCTTTTTGATGAATTCTTTTGATTTTGAACTTACTCGAAAAGAAGTTATTTCTGATTTCAATTGCACTGGGAACATTTATGAATATCGAAAATTCCATACCAAGCTTATTTTCATAAGAAATGAAAAAGATTTTAACTTGTTTTCAGCAAATTTCCTAACACTACTTGACAACAACATTGGAATTGCGCATATGACCGAACATCTTACACTTTCAGGTTCAGAAAGATATCCTATCCCAAATTTATTTTTTGAATTACAAAAGAAAAGCATATCCAAAAACATGGGCGCCGAGACAAACAGAGAATTCACATCGTATTACTTTTGCTCACCAATAGAACAAGACTTTATGAACATTTTAGATGTTTATCTCGATTGTCTTTTTCATCCTTTGTTATCAAAATTTGACTACATGAGAGAGTGTCATTGTTTTAAGTTCGAAGATAATGACAAAGAGAAAGAGCTCAAGCACACAGGAGTGATATATAACGAGCAATTAGGAAAAGATAATTTGAACATTTTAAAATATTTGTATCCAGATTCAAATTCATTTTTTAATCCTGGTGGAGAAACACAAGAAATTCCAAAAGCAAGATTAGAACAAATCAGAGAATATCACGCTAAATATTACCATCCATCAAATGCTTACTTCATAGTTGTTGGAAATATCGACATCAATAAAGTTTTGGAAAAAATTTCTCATTCAATCCAGAAATTTGAAAAAATTGACAAAATTTTTGATCAAAAACGTTTTATTTCAAAAGATTTCGAAAAAAGGAAAAGAATAACAGTTGATGTACAAAGAAATAGTAAGAATTACACATTCAGTTTAATGTTTCGCGGCCCTTTTGTTTCTGATTTAAATGCCACAGAAGATGTGAATGATGTTTTGTCACTTTTGTATCCAAATTTACAAAAATCTCTATCAGAAATAGGAGCTCAATGCTCAGTTTATCTAAATGATGATAGTTATCAAACAACAATATTTATAAATGTAAAAGTTCATGATAAAAGAAATAAAGAAGCAGCTGAAAAGATGATATATGATGAATTTGAAAAGTTCTATCAAAATGGGTTTGACAAAAATTATTTTGAAAGATTGTTAGAAAAATTAAGAAGTTTTGACAAAACTATTAAGAGAGACACTATTGAAGAAATTATATTACCTTGGATTCATGGTGCTGATCCATTTGATTTTTTCAAAATTACTGAATTTATCGAAAAAAGTAAAGCAAAAATGATGCAAGAAAAATACTATGGAAACATTGTTAAAAAATATTTAATTGATAACAAAAACGTTGTTTATCTTGAGTACAATATTGTTGACGATCTTAATGAAAAAGAAAATGAATTAATTAAAACAGAACTCAAAAATATGAAAAGCAAAATGACAGATGATATGAAAAACAAAATTGTTGAAGATGGAATATTTTATGAGAATGAATTAAAGAAAGAAAAGCATTTGGAACTATTACCATCTCTTTCTGCAGTTGAATTTTCTAGTGATATTAACTTTGTTTCTCCTTCTTATCAAGCAGAATCAATTAAGATATTTTCAAATGAAACAAATGGTAAAACAATAGTACAGATTTTGTTGCAAATACCCGATGATATGGAGAATCTTCATTATTTAACTTTTATTCCTTCCATTTTCCAGTTTTTAGAATGCGGAAATCTTAAACCAGGTGAACAAGAGAAGTTAATTAAAAACAGATTAGAAGGATTACAAATCAACAATGACTTCCTTTATGATTTCAAAGATAACAAATATCATCATTATTTAACTTTTTGTTCAAAGTTTTTGTATCAAAACTCATCAGATTTTGTTAATTTATTGGATAGTATGATCAACCAAATTCATTATGAGAGAACAGAAGAAATTGAAGGATTTTATGAAATGATGAAAGAAAACTTGGAAAGGATAGGACATAATTTAGAAAGAACTAATGCAAAGAATGATGTTTTATCAAAAATTGATGAAGATTATCAATTATTCTTCAAAGGAAGTTTCTCGAAATATAGTTTATCTAAGTTGAAAGAATTGTTTAATGGAGATATTTCAAAGTTTTTAGCTGAATTTCAAACTGTTTTTCATCAATTTATCTCGAATTCTAAGTTAAGAATTCTTATTAGTTGTGAAGAAATGTTTGTTGAACAATCAATATCGATTTCCAATCATATAATTGAAGTCTTCAAGAAAATGCCAAAAACTGAATATAAGGTCACTAAAAATTCAACAAAAATTGATATGAAGGAATATGATTTTATTTCAAAAACGAATGAAAGAACTAGTAACACTTATTTATTTATTACACTTCCAAATAGAGACGTAATCACAAACTTAAAATCAAAGATTTTAGTTTTAATTGCAGAAGGTGAATGCATCTTCGAAAGTGTTAGAGCAAAATATGGATGTTATACAACAGGAATTCTCAAGACAAATTATCCAGTTTTATGTTTCATTACTATGAAAGGAATGAATCCTTTCCAAGAGATCCAAGAAATGAAAAATATCCTTTCAAAATCCAAGCTTTTTATTACAGAAGATTCCTTAAACAATGCAAAGATAAACATTCTTCTTGATATGAAATCAAAAGAACAAAAATCTGCATTAACAGGTTTAAGTAATGCAGTAGAAAATATTGACGAAGAATCGTTTAAAGAGATTATTAACATTTATAGTCATATAACTCTCAAAGAAATGATTGATTTTTGTAATATCTTGAACCAACAACAATTTTATTCCTTAGTCGAAACAAATGATACCAATCTTGTTATCTAAAATCTTACTGTTTTTATATTTTGAATATTTCATTCTTTTTTCATCAGCTAAATTGAAAAGAGCTTGAAGCGTTGGTTCAATATAATACTACTCGAACAGTTGCTTGACATATGAACAATTTGATTATACAGCATTTCCAGCTCAGTTTTATTTGATCTATTTAAGGAACCTCTATATTTTAATAAGCGAGAATACATCTTATTGCTAATATAAAAGTCGCTTATCAGTAGAATTCAATGACTTATAAAATTTTGCCACTTTTTCAAATGGATTTAAAAGAGATTTATGAATGTATTGATTTGTTTTGTACCGACAGAAACTTTAGAAATGAATGTGATTCAGACCAAATTCTTGAATATTCAGGCAATTCTAAAATTAATTCCGTTACTTCAAATGAAATTTGATGATGATTTAACCAGATTTATTCTTGCACAACAGATGAAAGCAATATCAATAGACCGTGCTAATGCATTCAATATTATTGATTCAATTGGAAAACTATTAAATATCCCAATAATTTCTGAAGCATGTCAAGTAATTAGAGCTGATGACCAAAATCTAAATAATGAAAGTGATATTTTAATATTGCCAGATAAATTTATGATTCCAAATAATGACCAAAATTTAGTTAATTATGAGGAAAGAATTGATGAAAATGATAATTTAAGAGAACCAACAACAAAGGTGCAAAGCATTATTAAAAGAAAACGAGAAATCATCCAAATTCTTCCTGATGAAATATTAAATCTCAGATTTCAATTCAGAAATCACAACAAGTTGCACCAAGTGATATAACAAAGACAGAAATAAAACCGAACGAAATTATTCCGCGTTTGGAAAATAATCACCAAGAATTTAATGAAAAATTAGTAGAAAATAAGAATACTAATGAAGTTGTCAGTCCCAAAGATATAGAATTAGAACTTCCAACATTATCAAGGAAAGAAACATCAAATCAACAAATATCAGAAACAAATTTATCAAAAATTAAAGAAAACAAGGCGAAAATGATTGAGCCTGGAAATTTTGCATTAAATTTAGAGATTAAAACTGAAAGTAAAAATGTTACTAACGAAAAAGATCCGAAAACTCAGGAAAAGAAAACTAAATCAAATTTCCCAGAAAAATTCAGAGAGTTTGTTGCCGAAGATCAAAGTAATACAAGAGATGATAATGAGAAAACCAATACACAATTTCCAGAAAAATTTAGGGAGTTTGTTGCAGAAGATCAAAGTAATTTAAATAATTCTCAACCATCAGAGAAATTTAAAGAAATTGCTGCTAATAATGGAAACAAGACAAGAGAACAAGAAAAGAAAATTAATTCTCAACCATCACATAAATTTAAGGAATATATTGCTGAAGATGGAGATAAAATAAAAGTACAAGAAAAGAAAACAAACACTCAATTTCCAGAAAAATTTAAAGAATTTGTTGCAGAAGATGAAAACAATATTAAGAAAACTAACTCTCAATCTCCTGAAAAGTTTAAGGAATACGTTGCTGATGATGAAAACAAAATAAAAGATCAAGAGAAGAAACCTAAAAAAATTCAACCAGTTTCAGCTGATTCTAACAAACCAAAATCATCAGAGAAACCTAAAACAAGGAAAGAAGAAAAACCAAAGAAGAATGAATCAACAACTTCTTCTAAAGATGGTCAACCAAAAAAGGAGGAAAAACTTTCTTTCAAAGAATGGATACCAGAAAAAGAAAATAAGACTACTCAATCTACAGAACCAAAGAGAAAAGAAGAAAAGAAAGCCAAAACTCCTAATTTTGATGAGTGGGTTGCTCCCCAGCCAAACAGTTGTGTTCTTGATCCAAAAAAGCTCAAATCAAAGAAATGATTTCGTTGGTTAGTTATTAAATCAATTGCTAATGAGCATATAGTTATACAACAGAATAATATAATATATCTTGATGATTAGATCTTAGTCTATCAATCAATTTTAAATAATATTTTGTTATTGTATGTAAAAAATAGATCTATGCTTCGTAATCATATTATAAAGCAAGTATAATAATCAAATATATTAATTATTTTGTTTAATTAAGGATTTGTTGAAATAAATTTTACATGCTGGCTTGTAAGAGAGTTATTGATCATAATTTACATATAATACAAGAAACTAAACCTATATATTATGACTTTTAATCACTATTCCGAGTTTGTGATTTTGCTTTTTATAATCGTTGGATGCAAGTTATTTGGCATTTACTATTTCTTTGGCTGCACCTTTTATAGGTGCATGCTATTAATATAGTAATATTAGAAATTAAAAATAAGTTAAAAATATCGTTCATGTTTAACCAAAATTTCAACTCATGCATCTATCTCTTATGCAATATTATACTATTCTTCTAATTAAATTTCCCAAACGCCCATCATTTTTTCAATAAACAAATTTTGAAGATATCTTCACAAATCGGAATGATTTTCTCTGAAAAAATGTTATGATTAATAATAACAAAACTCTTTATTTCATACAAATATACATATGGGTTACAATTCTAAATCTATTCAAATTTTCTGAGGACTAATAAAAATTGAGAGAAATTCAAGTATTGGTCAGTAAAGAAAAATATCAACTATCAATTATTGATATGACGGTATTCAATTATAATTACACAAAATCTGATGCTAATCCTGAGATTATATTAATTCTTTTGTTGTAAAATAAAGAATTAAAATAATAATTTCTTTGAAACAATGCATCGATCTGCTGTACGAACGTATCTCTACCGAAATGAGTCTAGATTAAATAAAATTGTATAATAATAACGTTAGATATTCTGATAAAATCTAACGATTTTGAGAAAATCAATTCAATTTTTGAGGGAAATGACTTGAAAAATCTGTTCTGAGCACTGTCAACGTAATTAACAATGGATAATACCTATAGTACTAGCTAATAATCAGGTTATTATGCATTATCCGACCAAAGATTATTGAGAGGATCATAATTAATGCGTCCTTGGCATTTCAGTGACATTAGAACGGCTCTTAAACGTCGTAAGAATGGTAGTCTCGAGAAGTTGCCTGGGTCATTTGAATGACTATGCATAGATTCGGATATTTTTATAAATTCTACAGGATGGCCTATTTCATGAATATATTCATAGACATTTTCATCAAATATTGGCCGATATTCTAATTCTTCATCATTTTTTGATTCATTTTTTTCTGAATTATTTTCATTTTTTTCTATATATTCTGGTAAACTATCTTCATGATCATTTTGAATTGGCTGATATTTACTATTCTTTCTTAATTTAGTATTAAGCATCCATTCATGGGGTTTATTGGGGTTTTCTATAAATAAATGGCGACCTTTTCTTTTAATCGTGCAATTCAGCCTTACAACACGAATACTTGGTTCAATGAGAACACCTCGTCTGGAATATTTATTGATTATATCCCACTTTTTCTTGATAAAATCTAATATGCATTCTTCAGATGCGGAACCACCCATACTATTGATACAGTACATCATTGCTACCTGCAACGATGATGATTCTTTCCATATTGAACCAGAATATTCTTCAAGGGGATGAATGAAGTTGAGAAAGGATTCCTCTCCCGTATAAATTTGTCTGGGTGGACCTGATGATGATTGGCCAGCTTTTCTCCTTGGAGGCATCTTTGGTCAACCCTCTAAAAGATCCCTAGAAAAAAAAGTATCTTTCTGAAGTTCTCAATTACATTCAATTTTTATTTTCAATTGTTAAATTTTATTCGATTGTTCCACAGCTATATTCAATTAATTAAATATAAATTACGTGTCTTTTCAAAAATGTCAATTTTTTTTGTCAACACGTTCAGTTTATTCCTCTGTTTGACAATCCCTTTCAGAAATGATGGAGAATGGAAGCCACACCACATTGGTGATGATTCCTCAAGTTATATTTCTTAAAAATTTTAACTTTCCTTAAGAAATCAGAAGAATATAGTGGTCATATAATTGGATTATATCAATCATTCCGAGTCATTTCGCATTAACTTTTCATACAAGTCCATTTACACTTCATTTCAGAACAATTTGGCTAGGGAACCTCGCGACATTTCGTTACATATCGGTATTCAATGAATCAAATCAATAGATATCTTATCAATCGGATCCTTTACGATCAAAAATTATTCTTGGACGAAATGATGATCAATGAACATAGCTGTACCGATAAAATTATATTTCATGATAAAAAGACTAATGAAATTGTAAGAATATTTATCATGAAATATATTGGGTATATTATATTAATGATATTGATTGACATCAATTTCATTAACAGCGATATCGTTTTGAATAGAGATTAAGAAAGTTGTCGAAATTTCATTAAGAAATAACGATTTCTTGGATTTATCTGGACCTCAAATTAACGAACTTGTCAAAGAGTTGGTATCTACGTATTCAAGAAATAAGACAGAGCTTTCATTCCAAGAATTCCATAACATGGTATCTAATGCAACAGGTGTTATCGAGGCATTTGATATTGATACAGATCGTCTTTGTGAAAACTAAGTTATCTGCTCTTTATTTGTTGTTAACGTATATTAATAATAGTAAAAATATTAAAATTATAGATCAATTATATAACCATTTTAGCTCATTTCATGTTCGTTAGCAGTTCAGATATATTTCAATAAGAATTGATCTAATTTCCCTAAAAAATATTTTAAATCTTTTGTATGCAAGCTCTCGATTCTAGTATTGAATCAACATATGGGGGATTAAAATGTGCAAAAAGTTATACATATCATTTCATTCATATTAATAAAATTCCAAAAATATATCAAGAATAAATAATAGTATATTGGTCACATTAGCACAAGGACTCATGTAGCCAAAGCATTCTAGCAACATCATCAATCAAATAGTGAATGGAGGATTGATCATTGCGCTCAAGTTTGAATTCAAAATTTTGTTCTAATTTTATATAGGATCGGTGAAAATTCTTTTCCTACATAAAGGCATTTGTATGCAAACAATGCACTCATACAGAAGAAGATCCAAAAAACATATGGCGACTTTATTATAAAGGAATTGATCCTCCAAACGTTATCAATTCAGGTGAGATCAAACAAGTCACTGTTTCTGACAAGAAATGTTTCGCATACATCTGTACATTCACTAAACTCCAAAGCAGAGCAATTGAATTCAATAGCATTACGGATTATTCGATTTTACTTTGCGAAAACTCTTTTTACAAAGATCCTGGAAACGTATACATTAATAGCGCTAATAAAAATGATATTATTATTAAGGGTTTCGTTTTGCGAAAAAAACATACAATACGCAATTTCGCTAAAAAACATTTAGCTAGCAATTTCGACCTTTGACTCCACTCAAGACGTCACTTTTTTAATTTTGCGGTATCATATTTTTGGAAAATCTTTATGAATATTATATAAAAAGTCTCTTTAATATCTATATTTCAGATTTTTATCGATTTTTAAAGTTTTTGCGAAAAGTATTCAATTATTTTTGCTATTTGGTCGGGTAAATGTCAGATTTGCGACATTTTCTGATATGATATTCAGATTCTACGTTGATAATAATGCTTATAGAACCCTCTTGCTATTGTGTCAAAATTGCGAAACCGATAGCAAAAATATCTCGCAATATCAAAATTGAGATATTGAGTGAATTATGCATTATAGAGATTAAAAATCTGATTTGTGAAAACATCTAAAAAAAAAAAAAAAAAAAAAAAAAAAAAGGAAGTGGGGCTTCCAGGCACTTCGTGCCTTCTAGCCCTGAGGATGTTTTGTCAAGACCCAAGAGGAGGACCGAACCCCAGCCGACCAGCCGTTGACTTTTTTGTCATGATTTCATCGTAAATGTTTTGTCAAGACTTCTTCGTAAATGTTTTGTCAAGACTTCTTCGTAAATGTTTTGTCAAGACTTCTTCGTAAATGTTTTGTCAAGACTTCTTCGTAAATGTTTTGTCAAGACTTCTTCGTAAATGTTTTGTCAAGACTTCTTCGTAAATGTTTTGTCAAGACTTCTTCGTAAATGTTTTGTCAAGACTTCTTCATCGTAAATGTTTTGTCAAACTTCTTCGTAATGAGCGTAAATGACCAAAAATAATGTTTATGTTAGCATGTTAGATCTAACACGTTTTCTAACATGTTTTCTAACATCGTAGAAAACTCATGATTTCATCGTAAATGTTTTGTCAAGACTTCTTCGTAAATGTTTTGTCGAAACTTCTTCGTAAATGTTTTGTCATGATTTCATCGTAAATGTTTTGTCGAAACTTCTTCGTAAATGTTTTTGTCAAACTTCTTCGTAATGAGCGTAAAGGACCCAAAAATATAATTTATGTTAGAATGTTAGATCTAACATGTTTTCTAACATGTTTTCTAACATGGTCTAAAACTCTTGAATTTTCATGAATTTTCATGATTTCATCGTAAATGTTTTTGTCAAACTTCTTCGTAAATGTTTTGTCGAAACTTCTTCGTAAATGTTTTTGTCAAACTTCTTCATCGTAAATGTTTTGTCAAGACTTCTTCGTAATGAGCGTAAAGGACCCAAAAATATAATTTATGTTAGAATGTTAGATCTAACATGTTTTCTAACATGTTTTCTAACATGGTCTAAAACTCTTGAATTTTCATGAATTTTCATGATTTCATCGTAAATGTTTCGACAAAACATAGACAAGAAAGTCTTGACAAAACATAGACAAGAAAGTCTTGACAAAACATAGACAAGAAAGTCTTGACAAAACATAGACAAGAAAGTCTTGACAAAACATTTACGATGAAGTTTGACAAAGTCTCAACAAAGTCTTTACGATGAAGTTTGACAAAACATAGACAAGAAAGTTTTGACAAAACATGTACGATGAAACCTTGACAAAAACATATACGAAGAAGTCTTGACAAAACATATACGATGAAATCATGAAAATTCAAGAGTTTTAGACCATGTTAGAAAACATGTTAGAAAAGGTGTTAGATCTAACATTCTAACATAAAATATATTTTTGGGTCCTTTACACTCATTACGATGAAGTCTTGACAAAACATTTACGAAGAAGTCTTGACAAAACATTTACGATGAAATCATGACAAGATAGAATATGAGAGAGGTCCTATAAATCGGAGAAAGTCTCATATAAACATCTGTCAAAAGCCTCTTTTTAACTTCACTTAAAATGCCACGTAAGCTACGTAAGAATATACGTAAGAGGAAGAGAGCATTGAAACATCCAATAGTAAAACTAACACCACAACAACAGTTGCAACAACAAATGCTGAATGACCCCACTATGTTGCAACAAATGTCAAGCAATCCTATGCTTTTAAACCGAGTTGTTGGTGCACAGAGTGGAGGTTTAAGAGCGGCACTTTTAGCGAAAATGGCAGGCTATGGTGGAGCTGCAGACGGAACAGCCTATAACCCTCAAAGTCAAATGAATTTGAGTTCACTCAAAAATCAAATAACAGATGTCAAAAAGTCAAACATAGACATACAGAAGCAAATAAGTGAAAACGAAAAGAAACTAGAATATGACAGACACACAAAGAAACTCAATGAGTTAAACGTAGAGAAAAAGAAGAAAGAAGAACAACTGAAAGAACTAAGTACAGAGGAATATGCGAAAAAAGTGTCAGAAAAAGCAGCAGAAGTAGCAAAAATGGAACAAGATGTTATAAATTTGAAAAACCATACTACTCAATATAAAGTACTGAAAGATGAAGAGATAAAACAAAAAGCCCTGAAGACATATATGGATAGCGATGAGTATAAAAAAGAAGTTGAAGCAAATGTAAAGGCAGAAAAACTTTTACAGTTGCAAAACCAAACCGTACAGTATGAAAACTTAGCACAAGAAAGTAAAAATAACGACGCAGCCATGCAAAAGGCAATGAAAAGCGCAGAATATATAAAGCTAATAATGACTGGTTAGATGCCCAAGCCAACGCTAAAGCAGCCCAGCTTATAGGGTCAATAAGGACAAAAATACAAGCGGATGAAGACAGTTCAAATGAAGCTTTAATGAATGCTGACTTTAAGAACGCCTTCGAAGCTCTTCATAGTAAGGTGAAACTAGTGAACGACTTCTCATCTGGAAAGAAACTGAAGTCTGAAGGTTTCGACAACGAGTTAAGAGAAGTAGCACAAAATATGACGAAAATAACAGATGCAGCAACGAGACAGGCAGTTCAAAGTGCCTATGACGCCGTTAGAGCAACTGTTGTGGAAAGTCAAGAAAAAGAGTTACAACAGACCAAAACAGACCTAGTAAATGCTTTCTTAAGAACGAAAAGTCAGGTAGGACATTATGCTGCAGATGGAACATATGTGCCAGCTGGTGGAACTTATATACCACCAAACCCTCCAAGAGAAGCACCTGCACCAGGACTACCTAGAACATTTACATCGTCACATGGACACAGACACAGGCATGCACCAAAACCAACACAACAACCACCTCCACAACCAGCACAACAACCACCTCCACAACCAACAGTTCAAAACCCTGCACAAACAGAACAAGGAAACCAAGAATTCTTAAAAATGCTGAAGGAAGAGTGTGGTTTCCCAGATACTGTTGACTTTAGTGACAGATATAAAGAAGCTATTAGAAAGTTCAAGGATGGAAATACTGACCCGAACCTATTTAGCTTTATGGCTCAGCACCAAAACGGATATAATCTCAAACCTGGAAAATACAAGCTCGCTAAGGGATATGATTTAATAGCATATCATCCAAATGACATGGATGAATTTACTCCGAGATATTTGATGTCAGAGCTAAATGACAATTCAACTTTCGTCATGAAACGCGTAAAAAATAGAGACGGAACGAAAGAACAAAAGCTTATGAATGCGGATGACGTAGATAGGGAAATTGTTAAAAACGGTCTCGGAATATATGAAATGCCAGCAGATGAGGTACAAGAAACTCCACAGGAAGAAATAGTTCAGATACAACCAGACATGGAAGAAATAGTTCAGCAACAACAGCTAGAAGAGCCTGAAGGAAACGAACAAGTCACTCCTTTGGAAACTAACTTCACAGAACTAGATGAAGATTTGGAACAGCCGAAAAATCTTGACCCTCAACAAGAGTATGCGGAGAATATGGAATATTTCCAAGAGTCTAAAAAAAATTCGGCTGACATAGTAGAAGAATATCGAAAAATGTTTGCCGACATACAAAAGACTCCAGCACCAGATGAAAATATTCAGCATAGAATGGAAGTACTGAAAGAAAATGTACACAAATACAACAACCCTTTTTACTTACGAGCATTTAACGTTCAATCTTCGGATGAACTCGGTGAAAATAAAAGGTTAAATTTCAAGAAAACATATAGAAATGAAACATTGTTTAAAGTTCATTCAGAACCTAACCAAGATGGAAACAAACCTACTTTTGTTTCTGCAGACGATGGAACTACAATGAGATGGGGTCATAAAGCTAATCCAGATAGGTGGTTCATAAACTTACAACCACAATTCCAAGAAGTTGTAGACGCAATGGAAGTCAATGGTGAACGAGATATAGCTGGTATTTTAAGCGCGGCTTTAATGCCATTGAAAGATATGAAACATGCAGATATTTTGGACCAGTATGAAATGAACATGGCTGATGGAAATATAACACCTGACGTTCTAGAACATTTATCTCAAAGAACTACACAGAACCATAGAGATGGTATATTTGGTGAAGAGTTTAGAAAGAAAGTTAGGGAGAGCGAAGGAAGAGAACCTATTGTACATGACCTTGCAAACGAAAGTTACAAAATGTCATAAAAACTTACTTTGCAGGCGATGAATCGAGAAGGGATGAATATTTAAGAAAACTCAAATGGACAGTACCAAATGAAATGTTAGTATTGAAAAACATGTTCCTTGACAAAATAAAACCAACTACAGAAATAAACGACGCAAGACTGAAAGATTGGGTAAAAAGCTTTCCCATTCACAAAAGATATTATTGGTAACATGGAAAGAAAACCAGAATGGCTACAAAAACATATATTTGGAAACGAGCTTATTCCATATGGACCAACTCTGTTTTGAAGAGCTTGAACCAGAAACTCAGGAAAGAGTCATGCAAACAATACGCAAAGACTCAAATACAGACTATGACAAACTCTTTCTAGGATATAGGTTACCTGAGATGGGCGACCAGAGCCAAAAGGCAAAAGGACATGGGAAATTTGCAACATACTAGATGAACATAATGCAAATATGCAACAACTTCAAGCAGAGGGCAATGAAGGAAAAAGAAGAGTTAAAAACTCAGTCAGGAAGAAAGTAAAGCTTGGTCCACGTGGGTTCTATTATGACATATAAATCCAACTATTCTATATTTTTACTCATATGAAATGTACGCCGCTCAGAATATAACGCCAACAGTTTTTGGATGCTATGAATGGAAATGTTTCCGAATGGTATAACGAATGCGACATGCATTAGAAGGTCAGAAATAGTTCCTGGAACTTACGAATATACAACTGCTGTTTCTTATGGAAACGTAGGTGAGTTTGGAGAAGGTTCTTCAACAACAGTAGATATTGCTTGCGACAGGTTTCATATTATTTCTATTGACAACTCTTTCTTATACGTGGAACAAGACATTGAAATAAAACCTTCTGCCAAGTTGTCTGACAAGAAAGGTTGCAATGGAATTTTCTATGTCGGATACCAATATGCTCCAGAAGTTTTTATGGGATATAAGATATATTCTAACTCTGACTTAGTTCAAACAGTAAACATGGGCAAACTATGAATGGTTCGCTTTGAGAAACTCAGTACAACCACAAGCTAGAGAACAAACAGACCAATATGCAACTATTGAGAAAAAAGAAGACTTGACCCTAACGTTCCAGGAGTTTATGTTAACCTTTCTGGACAAACTGCAGCAGCAGTAACCAAAGTAAAACTGAAACTTAGAGTTCCTTTGTCATCTTTCCTCATCTTCAGGTTTTTAAGATACTTGCCAAACTGGGCAGGAAAAATTTCTATTGAACTTACTCCAAGCAAAAATAAACTTAGTCATTGCACCAACGCAAGACCCATTCACTCTTACAGACGTAAAGGGAGCAAATCAAACGTCATTCGCCGAATTTTGCAAAGACAAAGTTGACTTAGACTTTGGTTTCTCAAACCTCAACACTGAAGTAAACTATTATTTCAATGCTGCTGAACTGCTTGGGACCCAGTTAAGTTCACATGCGAAAAATTTGAATGCAAGAGAATAGAAAGCAGACTTGCAGTCTATATGTTGGACCCAGATATTTCAAATGCTTTAGCTGCCAAATATATTGCAGTTCCACTTATGTTCCCTATACACCAAATATCTGTCAAAGACTTTGCAGGTGAAGTTGGAAACCAAAGTGCTGACCCAGGTGCAAGAACAGATATTGCCTTAACAACTGCAATGAAACATGCAGATACTATGTTTGTACTGTTCAGACGAACTATAAATGACTATTCTTGTTTCTACAACCCTGGTATTAAATATCATATAAACATAGATGGCAAATATTATCCAAGAGAAGAATATTCTACAGTTGAGGATATGAGGTCATACAACTTGACATTAGATGCTATGAACTTTAACAACAACTTCACAACAACTATTAACCCTGAAATGCAAAGTTCTATTATGCCATATGTGAAAGTATGGACTCATACAGGAGGTCAAAAACTCAATATACAAATGGAGACCGTTCAAACTTTTGGCTTGGCATTCCATTTGCTGACTCAGAAGACTTTATGGGTGGTATTTCAACTGTTGGTACTGTACAAATACAATATACTGGTGACAGAGACGGTCCAGATGAATTGAAGCAAAGAAGTTTACAAAACCAATAGCACTTTTCACGGAAGATGCTCTTTGAAGATTCGTTCGATGAAACCTGCTGGGGCTCCTCAGATTGGCATAACGACAGCTTCCATCGAGCAGATTTTGGCAGCAGGTCAGTAAGTTGTTCTTGAACTGACTTCTCTCCGTCAAATATTGACAGTACGCCAGTTTTGCATAATATTGTATTATAAACTTACCTTTAGAAATATCTGTAAGTTTTTGAAGTTATATTTTTGTCTGCTTCAAGAACTTTCACCATCTCGGTTATACCAACTTTCTTTGCTTTATGAAAATATTTTGGTTCAGCAAAGACTGCTATTCTATAACATTTTCCATTGTTTGTATAAAGAACTATTCTGTCAATGTATTTGTATTGTTTGTGTGTGTAAACTTTGTTCTGCTTCAATTCGAAGAGATACTCAAATACGTCCATCTTTTTATTCTAAGTAAAATGTCATTTCCGAAAAATAGAAGCGTAAGTGTTTCAAAAGGTTTAATGGCGATGGCAGATGTGAAGTTAAATTCACCAACTCAAACAAACAGTCAAAGTGTTGTTGTCAATGTCAAAGAAAGAGATGTTGAAGTGGGGAAACCATACGAAGACGAAGATGGTATATACAATAGTTCCTGTAAAAGAACAACCAACATACCCTGAAGTTAGCAGAGACTTAAGTTCTGTTGCAGATATTCGAAAACGACTACCACAACTTAAAGACAAACTTAAAACTCAGGAGAAGATTTGTCAAGCTTTAGGTATAATGTTAAACTTGGTCGAACACAACCCTGTAAAAGTGAACTCATATGTCATTGCACCTCATGAAGTTTTTGAAAGAACTATTGAAACTTTTGACAGAGGCAGACGATATAAACATCAAAGAAATAGAACCCGACATTGCTTGCTGTGGTGTTTCATATAATGTCATTGACAAGATATACGTTATGAAAGGAGGTGAAACGTTGAACTTAAAGTATAGTTTCCCAGACGTCATAAAAATATTTGACGACCACAAACATTTCATTAAAATTTATTTGCTAAGTAAATGGCAGAAGATATAATGGTTTATACTATTACGACTAAAAACCCTGAGTCATATAATTCTATAACAACAAACTTACAAAGTCCTCAAGGACGATATTGTAAACTGACCTTAAACACGATGACGACTAAAGCCTGTTTTGCTCTTTTGACACCAGAAGACTTTATTGTTGTGAATGGTAAAAATACTCCTTTGAAGATACTTACTCAGATATACCACCAACAGGTTTTGTTGACTTATTTAATACTTTAAGGACGAGTGTAACATGTGCTGCAACTAGAGCAGGTTTCATTATGTTTGGATGTCCGACTGAGTTTACTATAAACAATAATGAGCTATAATACAAAACTTATATCTGGTTTTTACTACCAACAGTTTCCTATAACAGGAAAAGGTGTCATACAAGGAATGTCTGTTCCATTGACTTTAAGTACACCTATTTTATATATTGTTTCAAACTTAGGTTCAAAGTGTTATTCGAATGTCGACAGAAACTATTATGACCAAAAGATACTTATGCGTATAAACAATACTTTCTCTGCTGGTTTGCCTATTGTTCATTCGAATGCAGAATTTTCAACCTTAGTGAACTCAAACACTTTGGCAAGTATAACGTTGACATTAGTTGACGCAAACTTTGTTCCTGTAAAACTTTATGTCCTATGTATTTGTCAATGACGGCAGAAAGTTTCGAATTGGAAGATGCAACTGGTGAAAGTATTGTATTACAAGAACAACTTCAACAACAAATAGCTCAAGAACAACAAATGCAACAAATGGAACAACAAAGTCAAGAATAAAAAATAATATTTTTTTTATTTTTATAAAAATGTACAGAATAGATGTTTCAGATTTTTATGACTTCCAAGCATTCAGAAATATGTGTCCATTTCGAGACTATAACAAAGCAGTCGAGAATTTGAAACGTTTAGTCATTTATGTCGACTCTGCCCAGAATGTTATGTTATGAAAGAATGGGATGTTGTCTTTAACAACCTAAAGCAACAATAGTTTCAGAACAAGAATGTAGACAGAAACTTAAGAAAATAAAAGTCGTACAAGTTGGCATGAAGATGTTAGATGCTTGGGATATCTTATTGTCAAAGTTAGAAGATTTTTCAGTTCGAGGTATAAAG